CACCTTTGGCAAAAACAGCCCCTTGTTGCCGTTTTCTTGGCCACATAGTAGGAGGGTTGATTGGGGCTTTGTGTACAACCGGGCCCCCGCTCGGGGGACACCACCCCACTTTCATACTTAGAAATGATCTTTTTTTTCATACCCATGAAATTTCTCCCCTTTTTTGCTGGGGTTGGCATAGAATCTTTCGGGGGGCCCCATGGTGACTTATTTTGCGGGTTTTTTTTTTTTTTTTTTTTTTTTTTAAAACAAGTCGGCCGTTCCCACCGAGGCAGGGTCCCCAAAAAAGAAAAAAAACCCCAAAAAGAAAATACTTTCATCATCATTCACACTTTCACCACACTCGCACATTATCACTGTTTTTGCAGGGGTCTCAGATACAACAGTCTAGAAGCATCCCACTATAAGATAAAAAACATATCCCCCCAACTGCCAATATCCCAAACCCCTCCTTTAAAGTGCAGGCATTGTATTTCCCCATTTCCGGATCAAGCCGATAATGAAAAAAACCCGGTTCCCTAATCCCTTCACTAAATATTCCCCTGTCACCCCCAACAGATGTCAGGCCCAAGTACCTTGTCTCCATTCATCCTATCAAACACGCTCACGCACGCTTGCTGGAAGCCCAACCCCCTTCCCCAAAAAACCTCCTTTTACCCCCTCTCTCCAACCCTTTTTCGAGGACGCCCCTACCCCCCTTTCCCTTTCCCCCCTATAGATTTATATTTTCCCATGCATTCTATTTGATCCATTCTTTTAAATGACCAAACCCACCTCAACAACCCCTCTTTGCCCTCTGACTAAATTTTTTTTAAACTCCCACCTTCCCCAAATTTCCACACCCCAAAATTTTCTGCAAAATATTTACACCACACTTTGCCCTTAAACAGGACATCTCACGCCCCAACCGTTCCTCGCTGCTGCATTTACCACCCAAGTTCCCCCACCTTTAAAAGAGTGTTGGTACTTATACTTCATAAAAACCCTTTTTCCCTCCAAGATAACGTTTTTTGATCCACATATACCTCAAGCACCCCTCACCTTTTTTTCCCCCATCAATTTTTGATTAACCTCTCCTTCATAAATCCACCGCGACAGTAACTCCCAAGTACTGAAAACATTCATTTTTTTTCCCTACTCCTCCTCCCCAAATTTTATATCCAATTTTTCTTTTTTTAAATCATTTTACACCCTCATCACCCTTTCTCTTTTCTTGTTCACTTTCAACTTTTTACCTTTAACACATTCCCAAATCATCCCCAACCTTTGCAATTTTTCTTTAAATCTCCCCAACACAGTATCATCAGCAAAAATAACGTGTCAATTCCCCTTTTGAATTTGATTCCCATAATTTTAAACCCACCCTCTCCCCAAACCCCTAGCATTTTTCTTTAAAAACCCCATCTATAAATATATTAAACAAACCCTGGGGACATTACACTCCCTTCTAAACCTACTTTTACGGGAAATAGTTCCCCCTCTTCTACACACCCTAAACCACCCATACTTCATAAAAAACTCTTTACAGCATTTAATAACTTACCACCTATTCCAATACTTGCAACATCTGCCACATTGCTCCTCTATCCACTCTATCATATGCCTTTTCTAAATCCATAAATGCAATAAAAAACTTCCCTACCTTTATCTAAATACTGTTCACATATATCTTCAATGTAAACACTTGATCTACACATCCCCTACCCACTTTTGAAACCTCCTTGCTCATCCGCAATCCTACATTCTGTCTTACCTCTAATTCTTTCAATTATAACCCTACCGTACACTTTTCCTGGTATACTCAGTAAGCTTATTCCCTATAATTTTTACAGTCTCTTTTTTTCCCCTTTTCCCCTTTATAAAAAGGGGAACTATACATGCTCTCCGCCAATCCCTAGGTACCTTCCCCTCTTTCATACATTTTATTGAACAAAAGTACCAACCACTCCAACACTATATCCCCCCTGCTTTTAACATTTCTGTCATGACCCCATCAGTCCAGCTGCTTTACCCCCTTTCATTTTACGTAATGCCTCACGTACCTCCCCCACACTTACATTTGCTCTTCTTCACTCCTAAAAGAGGGTTTATACTCCCTGACCAGTGCATAAAAATTACTGCCTCTGTTTCTTCCTTAACATTTAAAAGTTCCTCAAAATATTCTCGCCATCTACCTAATACCTCCATCTCCCCATCTACTAACCCCCCTACTCTGTTTTTAACTGACAAATCCATATTTTCCCTTGGCTTTTTTAAAACTTCTTTAACTCACTCCAAAATTTTTCTTATTTTCATTAAAATTTCTGACAGTGCCTCTCCCACTCTATCATCTGCTCTCCTTTTGCACTCCCCTCCACCAACTCTCTTTACCTTTCTTTTACTCTCCATATATTCTGCTCTTCTTATAACACTTCTGCTTTGTAAAAACCTCTCATAAGCTACCTTTTTCTCTTTTATCACACCCTTTACTTCATCATTCCCCCAATCACTCCTCTTTCCTCCTGCACCCACCCTCCTATAACCACAAACTTCTGCCCCACATTCTAATACTGCATTTTTAAAACTATTCCAACCCCTTCTTCAACCCCCCATTACTCATCTTTGCACTATCCCACCTTTCTGCTAAAAGTCGCTTATATCTCGCCCGAACTTCCTCCTCCCTTAGTTTATACACTTTACCTCCCTCTTACTTGTTGTTGCCACCTTCCTCTTTTCCCATCTACCTCTTACTCTAACTGTAGCTACAACTAAATAATGATCCGATAATCAGTTGCCCCTCATAAACATTTACATCCTGGAGCCTACCATCAACCTTTTATCCACCAATACATAATCTAATAAACTACTTTCATTACGTGCTACATCAAAACCTTGTATATTTATTTATCCTCTTTTTCATTTAAAAAATGTATTACTTATTACCAATTTCTTTCTACACATAGCTCAATTAAAGGCCCCATTTACATTTACCCCTGGCACCCCAAATTTACCTACTACTCCCTCCATAACATTTTTACCCCCCTTTAGCATTGAAATCCCCAACCACCATTACTCTCACACTTGAGTCAAAAATCCCCCCGCATTCACCAACATTTCCCAAAATCTCTCTCTCTCCTCTACACTTCTCTCTCTCCAGGTGCATACACGCTTATTATAACCCACTTTTCACATCCAATCTTTATTTTACTCCACATAATCCTTGAATTAATACATTTATAGTCCCTCTTTTCCTGCCATAGCTTATCCTTCAAACTTATTGCTACCCTTCTTTAGCTCTAACTCTATTTAAAACCCCCTGACCTAATCCCATTTATTCCTTCATTGAAACTCTCCCCCCCCCTTTCAGTTTTTTTCATTTAAAGCCAGGCAATCTTCTTCTATTCATAACACCACAATCACTCTTTTTTATCATCTCACAACATCCACGCACATTAATTTCCCCACTTTGACAATTTTTTTTCTTCTTATTTTTTTTAGTAATTTTTCAGGAAAAGGGGTTACTACCCCATTGTTCCCGGCTTTTAGTTGACTTTTACAACAGCTGGCTTCGGGGAAAATTTTTTATTCCACTTTCCCCTGGATATAAAAAAAATTAATAAGACCCAAAAACTATTAAAATAAAAACAAAGAAAATAGATGAGTGTGTAAAAAAATGTGTATATTATTGTAGTTTGACCAAGTGTAAGTAGAAGTAGCAAGACATGTGTAATCTGCATTTTAGAGACAGACAAAAGACATCAGCAATCTACCATCATGTAAAACAATTACAGGTTTCGTTTTACAATTCCTTTGGGAGGACGGTATACCCCCTGGGTGGTTTTCTGTCTACCAATACCACTAAAAACACTGTGATAATATGAAATGCTCCGATTGTATGTTTTGGATAGGACCGAGTGGCGGTGGCTTGAAAAAACTGGCCCCAAAAGGAGCTCTGATGGAACGAAAACGTGTTGGGCGGTTTTTGCGCTTAGTCGACAAAACTTTTGCTTAAAATGTATCGCTAGTCGGATTTAACATTACGATGCCATCGCTGGTCGAGGATCCACTGTATAATAATAATAACAATAATACTAATAATATGTATAATAATACGTAATATAATAGTATAATAATACAATACAATAATAATAATAATAATAATAATAATATGTATAATAATAATTCATATATAATAATAATGTACTACATATAACAATTATAATAGACGGCTTCAAAAGGCCTTCACCAAATGGCAGTGTTTGCCACAACAAAGAGGGAGCAGTTGTGGCTGCCTCCACCTGTTACGTAATGACATATTTTATTCATTCTAGAGTATATATCATGTTTCTATGTTATTTTTATTGTTTGTTATGTCATATTAGATGAACTTTGATATGTAAATAAGCCATATAGATGATATAAGCAAAATTATTCATGAAGTATTTTCATCGGTCTCCAGACAAACTCTCGTCCACCACCGACACCGCCCATGCTACTACATGAATGACATATTTTATTCATTCTAGAGTATGTATCATGTTTCTATGTTATTTATATTGTTTGTTATGTCATATTAGATGAACTGTGATAGATAAATAAGCCATATAGATGATATTAGCTAAATTATTCATGAAGTATTTTGCCCGGTCTCCAGACAAACTCTCGTCCACCTCTGACACCGCCCATACCACCACATGAATGACTTATTTTATTCATTTTAGAGTATATATCAGGTTTGTATGTTATTTATGTTGTTTATTATGTCATATTAGATGAAGTGAGATAGATAAATAAGCCGTAGAGTTGATATTAGCGAAATTATTGAAGTACAGAATTCCACTGGAACGGATTAATTGCATTTCAATTAATTTAAATGAGGAAAATTGACTCTGCAAACGAGCAAATCCAGTTGCGAGCAAGGTCATGGAACGGATTAAACTCGCAAGTAGAGGTTCCACTGTAATTGCATAACTTAATGGATATGCAGGGGTTTGTAATAATAAATTTAATAAATTTATTTCCAGGGATGCCCCTTCTGGGTTGACGTATGCATATTTATCAAATGAGTGTGCACCTGAATTGAGTCCTGGCCTCCATTTGTCTTCCATTCCATCATCAGTCACGAGCAACACTGATAACCTTTCAGTAGAAAGAAAAACATTTGCCTCAAGTTTTACTCTCTCAGGTATGTTATATTATATCTGAGCCTCTCTTGTTATAATGTAATTATTGTCCTTCAACTTTCAGTAAGTTTTATTTTCCATCTTTAAACCATTTTGAATATTTTTTGGGGTCAGTAATTATAAGACAAGCTGCTTGGCAGAGCTGAGTGATAAATTATAGTAGACAGTGTAGTGTATTAAGTGTCTTTCTGGAGGAGTTGCTTTGTTTTGTGCAAATTGTTCAAAAAGTTTTTTACTAATTTGAGATAAGTTAGGTTTATTTAGTTTAGATTAGATTATGTTAAATAAAGTTTGGGTAGGTTTAGAAACAGTACCATATTTTGGGGCATATTAGGTGTATAAGCTAGGGTGGAGATACACTGCAATTTTTTAACTAGTATTGGCACTCCTCTGGCAAGACAGTGATGGAGTAAGTGATGATGAAAGCATTTCTTCTTCAGGTCATTTTGCTGCAGTGGGAAGCAGCCAATGTGTTAAAAAATGCATATGAGGTGCATCCCAATTTTGGCAGGCATATTCTGATACTCTAAAAAAAAAAATGAAGAATTGTCATGAGCCAGTGGCTGGCTACTTAACCCTTTGAGGGTCGACAGGCCCTCTCCGAGACTTGTTCTCAGGGTCGGCCAGATTTAAAAAAAAAAAAATTTCTTATGAAAAGAGAGAATCTTTTCCCAATCATAATGACGCCAAAAGTATGAAATTTAATGGAAAACTTACGGAATTATGCTCTTGCGAAGTTAGTGGTCTCGACGATGTTTACACATCGGCGATTTTGCCCACTTTGAGCCCTATTTTCGGCCAATTCCACTGTACTAGTCGACAAAAATCATAAATATTTCTCTAGAACTCCATTTTTTCTATTGAATGAGTACAAGAAACCACCCATTTACCGATTTCAACTATCCAATACAGTAGTCAGAATTTAGCAATTTTGCCATTTCACACAAATTTCAAAAGATGCCAATTTCCAAATAGGGTCCAGAATAAACAAGAAAGACATTCCTGGCACTAAAATAACATTTCCTCTGTTCGTTAGTCACATCCCCAGGCCCCTCTTATATTTCTTTGGCTTTCCACTTTCAATTTTTATTCTTACAAAAAATAGAAGATTTATTGTTATGCAGACTGCTGCATTAGTGTAGAAATTGTATAAATAATATCAGCGCACTTGTGAAAGAATATTAGACTCACCAGTTGACGTGTATTGGATGCTTGGCATGATTTGTTTACTTTTGAACTTTGGTAAAAATCAAACATTTCTGCTACTTTGAGCTCAATTTCAAGGTACTTTTCATTGTAAAACCAGTCAAAATCATCTCAACTTCTGTAATATGTCTTTCATTCTATAAAATGAGACCAAGAAAATTAGAATACAACAATAAATGCCATACAAAAATGCAGTGCAAAGTCGCTGTTTTATTCCAGAAACACTGTCAAAGTTTTTTTTTCTCATTATGCACTGTGTGCTGCAGGATTTTCTTTATACTGCGCACACTGACCACATAGACCCATTCTTTCATATGTATGCCTACCAGCTTTCTCCCACTAGATTTGAGGGCGCTAGAATTTAGGCGTACTAGTACGTCAAAAACCCTGGGTCATAAGCCGTACTAGTATGGCCGAAACCCTCAAAGGGTTAAGGACACAACATAGCTGAAACACCTTGGAGGTGGAGATGACCGGTTGTGCAGGGTGACACCTTGCACAACTGGTCATCACCACCACCACCAACCACCAAAACAATCATAGCCACCTGTTATCAGATGGTTACTTTACAATAATAATAATATCTTTATTTACTACAAGTACTTGTAGATGGTATACAGGCCTAGCTTACATCAATGACATACTACTATAAAGAAAGCCTCTTGTTATGCATAGCATTTCGGGCAAATTAGGTCAGTTTTGTCCCAGGATGCGACCCACACCAGTCAACTAACATCCAGGTACCCATTATACTGATGGGTGAATGTAGACAACCAGTGTAAGGAAACACGTCCAATGTTTCCACCCCTTTGCCGGGAATCGAACCCTGACCCTCACCTTGTGAAGCAAGAGCTTTTGCTACCAGGCCACAAGGCATTGTGGGCTGATTTGCTTATTGCATACTGTTTTTTTTTTTAATAACGCATTGGCTGTTTCCCACTAAGGCAGGGTGGCCTGAAAAAACAAAAATTTTCATCATTATTCACTCCATCACTGTCTTGCCAGAGGCATGCTTACACTACAGTTATAAAACTACAATATTAACACTCCTTCAGAGGGCTGACACTGTACTTCCTATCTCATCTCCAGGAATCAAGTCCAGCCTTCTGGTTTCCCTGAATCTCTTTATAAATGTTACCTTGCTTACACTCCAACAGAACGTCAAGTCCTAACAACTATTTGTCTCCATTTGCTCTTATCTAACATGCTCATGCATGCTTGGTATAAGTCCAAGCCCCTTGTACACAAAGCCTTCTTTATCCCCTCCCTCCAACTTTCCTAGGCTGACCCCACCCCGCCTTCCCTCCACTACAGATTTATACGCTCTTGAAGTTATTCTATTTCATTCAGTCCTCTTTACATGTCCAAACAATCTCAATAACCCCTCCTCAGCCCTCTTGATAATAGTTTTGGTAATCCTACACCTCCTAATCTCCAAGCTACGGATTCTCTGCATTATGTTCACACAACACATTGCCCTCAGACATGGCATCTCCACTGCCTCCAGCCTTCTCCTTGTTGCAACAATCACAACCCATGTTTCAAACCCATACAAGAGCATTGGTATAACTGTACTCTCATACATTCCTCTCTTTGCTTTCTTGGATAAAGTTCTTTGTCTCCACAGACTCCTCAGTGCACCACTCACCTTTTTCCCCTCGTCAATTCTGTGATTCACCTCATCCTTCATAGACCCATCTGCTGACACGTCCACTCCCAGATATTTGAACACATTCACCTCCTCCATACTCTCTTCCTCCAATCTGATATCCAGTCTTTCTTTACCTAATTTTTTTATTATCCTTATCATCTTACTCTTTTCTATATTCATTTTTAATTTCCTTCTTTTACATACCCTACCAAACTCATCAACCAACTGTGCAACTTCTCTTTCATACATACATACTGGTAATACGAAAATTATAATTTTTAAAAGTTACTAATCACTCTAAAGTAATCTAAAAAAACAGTTTTGTGGTGTGGGTGTTTGTAGCACTGAAACCACCACTTGCCACTAACTCAAAGCCTGCCCTTGTTCCTCACCTTGAGTATTAAAAGATTTTTCTGAGACTTCTTTTTTGTTGGGGGGAGAGGGGAGGAGCTTACCTTATATGCCAGAAAATTTGATAAATAACCTAACTTAACATCATCCAATCCAACCTGTCTCAACCAAACTAAATCCCATTGTATTGAAAACCCAACTCAACCAGGTAAGAGATTATGTTATGGTTAGGTTACATTTGGTGTGTTGGGTTGCATTGGGTTTTGTTTTGGTTGAGTTAGGTTCTCTTGATTGGGTTAATATATACCTTTGATGAGTTTCAAGAGTTTTCCTATCCCTGGAGCCTGGTTCTGGGTCAATCTTGTATGATGCTTGCCTGGTCAACCAGGCTGTTGGTGCTGGTGACTCACTGGCCTACATATCCACATATCCATCACAGCCTGGGTTGATCTGGCACTTGGTGGAGATACTTGTCCAGTTTCATTTTGAGGACATCTACATTTGTTCCAGAAATGTTTCTGATATTTTCTGGTAATATATTGAATAGTCTGGGGGCACAGATATTGGTACAATTTTCTCTTATTTTGCCTATGGCTCCCCTGTTTTTCACTGGGTTTATTTTACACCTCCATATCTGTTGTTATGGTAGTGTTTAACCCTTTGAGGGTCGACAGGCCCTCTCAGAAACTCGTTCTCAGGGTCGGCCAAATTTAAAAAAAAAAAAATTATTTTTTCTTATGAAAAGATAGAGAATCTTTTCCCGATCATAATGACACCAAAATTATGAGATTTGATGGAAAACTTACGGAATTATGCTCTCGCGAAGTAAGCGGTCTCGGCGATGTTTATGCATCGGCAATTTTGCCCACTTTGAGCCCCATTTTCGGCCAATTCCACTGTACTAGTCGACAAAAAACATGAATATTTCGCTAGAACTACATTTTTTCTATTGAATGAGTGCAAGAAACCACCCATTTACCATTTTCAACTATCCAATGCAGTGGTCAGAATTTAGCAATTTTGCCAATTTCACACAAATTTCAAAAAATGTCAATTTCCGAATAGGGTCCAGAACAAACAAGAAATACATTCCTAGCAATAAAATGACATTTCCTCTATTCATTAGTCACGTCTCAAGGCCCCTCTTACATTCTTTTGCTTTCCACTTTGAATTTTTATTCTCACCGAAAAAATAGAAGATTTACTGTTATGCAGATTACTGCATTAGTGTAAAAAATGGTATAAATCATATTGGCGCACTTGCAAAAGAATGTTAGACTCACCAGTTGACGTGTATTGGACGCTTGGCATGATTTGTTTACTTTTTAAACTTTGGTAAAAATCGAACATTTTTCCCCTACTTTGAGCTCAATTTCAAGGTACTTTTCATTGTAAAACCAGTCAAAATCATCTCAATTTCTGTGATATGCCTTCCATTCTATAAAATGAGACCAAGAAAACTAGAATACAACAATAAATACCATACGAAAATACAGTGCAAAGTTGCTGTTTTATGCCAAAAAAACGGTCAAAGTTTTTTTTTTCTCATTATGCACTGTGTGCTGCAGGATTTTTTTTATACTGTGCACACTGACCACATAGACCCATTCTTTCATAAGGAGGCCTACCAGCCTTTTCCCGAGAGATTTGACGGCGCTAGAATTTATGCGTACTAGTACGTCAAAAACCCCTGCGCGTAAGACGTACTAGTACGGCCAAAACCCTCAAAGGGTTAACTGTGGGTCACGTCCCTCATGTACTTTCCAGGTATGTTTTTTCATGCATGTCTCTCCC